TCAACAAATGGTGCTGGCATAACTGGATGCTGGAATGTAGAAGACTGCAGATAGATCCATGTCTATTGCTATGCACAAAACTTAAATCCAAATGGATCAAAGACCTCAACATAAATCCAGCCACACTGAACGTATTAGAAGACAAAGTGGGAAACACCCTTGAATTAATTGGTACAGGAGACCACTTCCTGAACACTACACCAGTAGCACAGACATTGAGATCAACAACTGATAAAAGGGACCTCCTGAAACTGAGAAGCTTCTGTAAGGCAAACACACAGTCAGCAAGACAAGTCAGCCACAGACTGGGAAAAGATATTTACCAACCAACATCTGATAGAGGGCTGATCTCCAAAATTTACAAAGAACTCAAGAAACTAGTCTCCAAAACACCAAACAATCCAATTAAAAAATGGGGTACAGAACTAAATAGACAAAAATCAGTATGGGGATTCCTCATGTAAATGAGAATCAAATCTACCAAAAGATGCAGCAATTCCACTCTTAGGCATATACCCAAATGATGCACATTCATCCATCTTACTCCTGTCAGAATGGCTAAAATCAAAAACACCAATGATAGTTTATGCTGGAGAGGATGTGGAGAAAGAACACTCCTCCACTGCTGGTAGGAGTGCCAACTTGTACAGCCTCTTTGGAAATCAGACAAACTGTCCTGTGTTGTGTGAGCCCACTGATAAGCTGGCTCTGCAGTGGAAGCTGCCCACCGGCTTCACACCCAAGCATGTTTGTCTCAAAGTATTCTGTGAAGTCTGAGGATGGGCCGCCCTGTCTCACCTGTCATAGCGGGGGAGGAGAACAAAAAACAGCCACAAGTAAAAACATCCTTACATGGTCCCCGGAGAAGGGGAAAGGGACAAGATCTCCTGAGCAAATTGGAAACATGAGGGGAGGGAAGAGGGAGCTAGGAGAATGAGAAGGGAGAAGAGGAGGGAGCGAGGAGGACATGAGGGAGCAGAAAGTTTGAGTCAGTGGGGGGGGATAGAAGAAAACAAAAAGGAGATACCATAACAGAGGGCGACATTTTAGGTTTACAGAGAAATCAGGCACTAGGGAAAGGTCTGGAGATCTACAAAGATGACAACTGACAATCTAAGCAACAGAGGAGAGGCTACCTTAAATGCCCTCTCCTGATAATGTGATTGATGACTGTCTTATATGCCATCCTATAGCCTTCATCCAACAGCTGGTGGAAGTAGAAGCAGACATCCTCAACTGATCACTGAACTGAACTGGAATCCAGTTGCAGAGAACAAGTGATGGGCAAAGGGGTCCAGACCAGGCTGGTGAAACCTACAGAAACAGCTGACCTGAACAACAGGGAACTCTTGGTCCCCAGACTGATAGATGGGATACCAGCATGGGACTGATCCAGAGCCCAGGAACATGGGTTTCAATAAGGAGGTATCGGAAATCCATGGGACCTCCTGTAGTTATTCAGTACTTATCCCTACCCTAATAGGTGTGGATTTTGGGAGCCCAATCCACATACAGTGATGCTCGCTATGCCAAGACACATGGGCGTAGGCCGAGGCCCTATCCCAAATGATATAATAGGCTCTGATAACCCCCATGGAAGGCCTCAGCCTCCCTGGGGAGCAGAAAGAATATGTGATAGCTAGGGTATTGGTTGGGGGGATGGTAGGTGAGGAGGGGAAGGAGTGGGAACTGGAATTAACGTGTAAAACAATCTTTCTAATTCAAATAAAATAAATAAATAAATTAATTAATTAATTAATTAAAATATATCCCTGTAAAACAGAGGCTATTCATGGAACAAAAGATGCTCAAGCAATCAGATAACTGAACTGAGGTTTAATAAAAATTTTACCTGCTCCATTTTGATCAGGAAACAATCAATAAAGTCCCGAGGATTATTAATATCCAGTGATTCTTGGTGCTGTGTTGCTTTTGCCGAAAAGTAATGTTTTAAAAAAGTGAAATTTTCAAGTAATTTTCTGTGTTTTCCTGGTAAATAATCAATCATAAAAGGAAAATTGTTGCAAATCTACAAAAGTAAAAGATAAAAGTTTAAAACATAGGATGTATATATGTGTACCTTCTAGTGGACCTTGACCAGAAAGAATAAATACAAAAACAAATAATATGTTATCCATCTTGATGGGTGATTTTTATTGTGTATATAGAAATTCTCTTTGCTTGTAGAGATGTCAATAGAATAACATAATGAACCAACTCAAATGTGATAATAACTTCTTAAACTCTCATGCAATCTTTATTTCATGTATGAATTTTACAACAGCTTATTTGTTTTCTGCACAACATCTTCACTACATTCCTGAATATAAAATGGCATGAATGGTATGATTTACATTTTGTAGACTGCAACAGAGATGAAGGGACTTGGAGTATACTGATTGGAAGCATAGACATCATCCTTGATACTTTAATTTCTATCAGTCACTCTCACTCAGACACAGAACAATAATTTTATCAGTGAGAATCATAAAAAGTATTGAAGCACAACTGTGAACCTGTGCAGACTTCTTCAAGATCGTTTAGACAAATTATTTAGCTCATCTCAGCACATGAAACAATTGATGGGATCCAGACACTACTCAAACATTTTGTCACCCCTGTGATAGGTATTTTGCTACTTAGATGTCAACTGTTTATTATTTAATAAACACTGTTGTACTCCAGGAGCAATGGCAGTTTCAATGATTCCAAACACTGTCCCTACTTGAAGAAAATATTCTCATTGCAAATTATGATATTTCTCCTAATTGTTTGATGGCAAGATCTCTAAAGTATTCAATGGTGCATAAACCTTATTGATAACATTTCAAAAATAAAAAATATATCCACTGAGTTATACAGGTATCTTCTGAGCAGTGACCTGATGATTATAGAGAAAGTTATTTGGGGTTTAATGGAAAGTCAATGAACAGAGTCCTAACAGCCCACAGTTAAGCCTTCATCTTTCTAAAGAATATTTGAAACTTCAGGAAGCACATATCTCTGAGTGACTTGGGGGTTTTGCTGATTTTTGTTTTGTTTTGTTTTTAAAGAGAGAAGCTTGACTCACCTGCATCCAAGGGGAACTCAGAATCTCTACATTTTCATTTAAGACATGCATGAAGTTAAGAAATTCTTTATCTTTATAATCAAAACGATTCTGGAAAACAATGGAGCAGATCACATTGCAAGGACCACAGCCCAGGATGAAGGTGGGATTACAGGGTGAGCCTGAAGAGATGGGAACAATTGAAAATACCACTGAAATATATGCGTGTAAAACACTGTATCTCTTGATAGGTAAAGGAACTTATGACAATTTAAGTAAGTCTTAACCCACATATGGCCTGGTAGACATAACAAATGCATTATATCTGTGTACCATTTTTATATTTATTATGATTTCACTGATCTGGCCATCTATTCAAATCATGCAATTGAGTATACTCAGTTTTTATCTCATACTTTATGGACTAGCCTTTAACTCCAGTAGTCTGCTTGTTTGGGGAGGGGGAAAGGACTTTTTGGATCATCAGCAATTCAAGACTTACCTGTTTGTGAGGCCTCTAAACAGGTTACAAAGATGCATGGGGATGGAAGGCAGAGTGGATCTGGGAAGAATCTGATGAATATGATCAAAATACACTGTACAAGATTCTCAAAGAACAAGCAAAAATGAAGGGGAAAAAGCATCTCCCCATATAAAAAAGAAATGGAAAAAATTATAGGAACATTGAAAAATTATATATGGGAGTTTAAAGGCCCATGTCTTTGTCCAGGAGATTATAATAAACAGAGAGATCATGTTAATTTAATGGATTCAGAAAACTAACAGGAAAAGGAAACACATCCATGTTATGTGAAATGAAAGTTATATAAATATTAAATATATAATGGATATCTTGGGATTAAAATTAAGACAAGGACGTTTGTTTGAAATATGTCCCAAAAAGAAAACAAACAAAAGTAGAAAATAGCTAAAGTTTTTATTTCTCATTTCTGTCTAAAAAGCTCTCTGATTTCCACCCTTTAAAAGGAAGTAAATGTCTTTGGTGATTAACATGGATTGTCAACTTGACAGGCTCTGACATCATCAGAGAGTGGCCTGTGGACATGTCAGGGAGGTGAGAAGGTCCATTCTAACTGATAAAAAAATATGGGACGCCATGAAAAGGACAAACTTGAGAATAATAGGATGAGAAGAAGGTGAAGAAATACTGCTCAAAGGTACAGAAAACATATTCAACAAAATCATAGAAAACTTCCCCAACCTACAGAAGGATATGCCTATGAAAGTACAAGAAGCTTATAAAACAGCAAACAGACTGAACCACAAAAAGAAGTCCCCCTGACACATAATAATCAAAATGCCAAATCTACAGAATATAGAGAAAATATTAAGAGCATCAACGGAAAAATGCGAAGTAACATAAAGGCAGACCTATCAGAATCGTACCCGACTTCTCCATGGAAACTCTGAAAGCCAGAAGGTCCTGGATAGATATCCTACAAACACTAAGGGAGCATGGATGTCAACCCAGACTAGTGTACCCAACAAAACTTTCAATCACTATAGAGGGAGAAAACAAGATATTCCATAACAAAAATTGATTTAAACAACACATATCCATAAATCCAGCACTACAGAAAGTTCTGGAAGGAAAACTCCAACCCAACAAAGATAACTACACTCACAAAAACATAGGCAATAGATAATCCAGTT